GTGACAGAACCCGAAGCCTTACTCCGCACGGACAGGCTGGCAGGGGCACTTGGTCACTCCTGCACACTTAGGAAATGGCGTTTGCTAAGAAGGTCTGGGCCAATACCCTGTTAAGTGGCAAGAAAGGGGCCAACCGAGGGCCTTTCCTGTGGGGAACGGAGCAAGGGGGGACCAAGAGCCAGCAGACGGTTCTCTTCATCAACCTCGGATGGAATGCAGACCCGCCCCCCTCTCTCCGCTTCACCAGGGCTCTTGCATCAGACTTAAATGCCTGAGCCATTCACAGGAAGGACTCGAGGTGGCCTGCAGCCGTCCCAGCTGAGTCGGGCTGGTCCAGCCATGCTGGGTGGCTTCTGGAGAGCCCCAGAGGGACAGTAAGGACGGACACACCTCTCCTCACCTGCCCTCCTGAGGCCCAGGGGCTCTGCACTGAGGTGGCCACAGCGGGGGATGCTCAGGGCTCACTCCTGGAGGTGCTCGGGGGACTATATGGGATGCTGGGGATCGAACCCGGGTCAGCCACCTGCCTGACGTGCTGTACTGTCGCTCCAGCCCGAGGTCTGGTCGTATTGAAAAGAAGCAACTACTAAAAGCTTAATGAAGTGTTCGATAATAATTGTGGTCTCGGTGGATGTAAACAGAAGCAGAAAAGCCCCTGAATAAGCAAAACGGCAAACCCCCAGGCGGGCGGGTGCCAGAGGGCACTCTATGGGCAGCGTGCCCCTCTGCCAGGGGAGGGGGAGGGGGCCCTGGGGTCCAGGCCCAGGACACCAGCTGGGACGGGCTTCGGGCACCAACAGAGAAGAGAAGTTGCCGAGCACGGGCAGGGGTCTGCTCCCTTTCTTTTGGCCCAGTGGTGCTCACTTGGCACCAGGTCAATCCCTGATAGAACTTTTCTCAGGGGTCAAGACAGAGAGGGTCTCGGGGGAGCCTTAGAGCACTGCCAGGGGTGAGCACCAAACAAAAAAAAATACAAAGCAACCAAAAAAAAAAAGGCCAAGAAAACAAAGCAACTGACTCAATCATTGGCAAGATGGAACTAGAGAAAATGATGACCATTTTATTTTTGCTGTTTTTTTTTGGGCCATACTTGGTGATGCTCAGGGTTTACTCCGGACTCTGCACTTAAGGATCACTCCTGGTGGCGCTCAGGGGACCCGATGAGATGCCGGGGATCAAACCCAGGTCAGCTGTGTGTAAGACAAGCGTCCTCCCCGCTGTACTATGGCTCCAGTCCCCACGATCAGCCTCTGAAAGGGGCATTTTCGAACTCAACCTTTTGGAAGGGGCAGGAGGTGAGGTGGCAAAGGGCCTGACACTGTGTAGGGAAGAGCCCTAGGGTTTTTTTTTTTTTTTTTTTTTGAGTCACACCCGGAGATGCTCAGGGGTTACTCCTGGCTCATGTACTCAGGAATCGCTCCTGGCGGTGCTCGGGGGAACATATGGGATGCTGGGAATCGAACCTGGGTTGGCCTTGTTGGCTGCGTGCAAGGCAAACGCCCTCCCCGCTGTGCTACCGCTCCAGCCCCAGAGCCCTAGGTTTGATCTCTGGCTCCATCTGTGTGTCCCCAAATGCTGTCGAGCATAGCACCCACCACCCAAAGGAAACTGAAACGCTGAGCAGTGTGAAAGATCAGAGCTGGGAGTCCACACTCGGGAGAAAGATTCTGTGCAGATGGGCGGGCTTGTCAGTGGCACTTGGTACCAATACTGGGTTTGAGACCGAACATCTCTGGGTCAGAGAAATCACTTGTGTCAGCAGCAATGGGGGCATACAAAAACAAAATCCCACCAGGAGCGTTCCTTTGTCTTACCTGATAAATATGACAGGAACATGCAAGTAACGATACTAATTAAAAAGCACTTCCGGTGTTCGTCTTATAGTCTTTTTAAAAAAATCTAAGATGCTGGGGCTGGAGCGATAGCACAGCGGGTAGGGCATTTGCCTTGCACGCGGCCGTCCTGGGTTTGATTCCCAGCATCCCATATGGTCTCCTGAGCACCGCCAGGGGTAATTCCTGAGTGCAGCAGAGCCAGGAGTAACCCCTGAGCATCGCCAGGTGTTACCCACAAAGAAAAAAAAAAATCTAAGATGCTTCCTCTGAGCCCCGAGAGTTGAAGAGATCATCAGATGACTCGTCCAGCAAGACAGACAGATGAGGGACTCCTCGACCTCCCGAGAGACTTCAGCCTATTTAGCCAAGACCCCAGCTCAGGGCCCGGCTCTCCCGCTCCTCCTGGCTTTCACTTCAGGGAACTCAAAAAACTTCCTCAACTACCAATTATTGAAAAAAATGATGGGCCGAACACCTGGGTGAGAGCACTCGCCTTGCACGCATCCCAGTCCGATTCTACTCCTGGCACTGCATATGGTCCCCCCAACACAGACAGGAGTGACCCTGAGCACAAAGCCAGGAGTCCATCAGCTCTGAACACCCATGTGTGCGGCCCCAGACAGAAGCAGCAACCAGGATCCCGGTCACGCACAGGCAGTGGCCGCTGCTCCGACGCACCACCATGACCTTGGGCCTCACACGTGCAACTGGAAGTGCTTTAGTGCCAAATCACACCCCCCAACCGCAACAAAGAGCTGGGGGCACCCGGACCCTGCCCAGGCATCACAAGGAAACATGCTCGCAGTCCACGGAGCAGATCCCCGATGAACAATTCTCAATCAACTAAATCATTCTCAACAAGGCCATCTTCCTCTAAAAAGTAAATTACTTTCCTTACACTTTCCAGATTTTTCTGGTTTATTCTGCACCTAGGCATAAAAGAGAATCACCCAACTGACCCTCCCAAATTCATTTTTTTTTTTTTGCATTTGGGTCACACCCAGTCCCCTGCTCAGCCACGTGCAAGGCCATACCCATCCCGCTGTACTGGCACTCTGGTGCCCCGCCCAAATTCTCATTTCTAACTCCCACCAGTTGGGGGCTGGAGTGATAGCACAGTGGGTAGGGCGTTTGCCTTGCACGCGGCCAACCCGGGTTCGATTCCCAGCATCCCATATGGTCCCCCGAGCACCGCCAGGAGTAATTCCTGAGTGTAAAGCCAGGAGTAACCCCTGTGCATCGCCGGAAGTGACCCAAAGAGAGAGAGAGAGAGAGAAAAAAAAAGAAATCTAACTCCCACCAGTGACCATGGAATCGGAGTATTTAGGATGCACGTAAATAAGGAAACACAAATAAGCCGGCCCTGCAAGCTGCTGACCCAACAGGCCGAGGCTAAGAATGAAGTCTATGCGGTACCATCTGCTCGAACCGACGGCACTTTATCTGTCACAGCCCAGAGAAAACTGCTGCGCAGCAGATGATATCGGGGCATTCATACCCCCAAATGGACTGACAGCATCTGCTTCTGGGTGGGGGGAACGGACTGGGACCTGGAACTAACCAGCAAGGGAGCAATGGGAGGGGCCGGGAGTGACAGTCCAGGGGGTATGGGCTGTGCCTTGCACCACACCCACTGGGTTGGTTCCCAGCATCCCTTGGTCTCCTAGCCTCACCCGTGGGATTCCTGAGTAAACCCTGGGCATCGCCAGGTGTGGCCCAAAAATTTAAAACAAAACCAAAAAAAAGCAGCTGCAACGAAACCCAGAAATCCAGGACACAAAGAAGACAAAACAGTTAAGTTGGGGGGGCTGGAGTGATAGCACAGTGGGTAGGGTGTTTGCCTTGCACGTAGCCGACCCGGGTTCGATTCCCAGCATCCCATTTGGTCCCCCGAGCACCGCCAGGAGTAATACCTGATTGCCTGAAGCAGGAGTAACCCCTGTGCATCGCCGGGTGTAACCCAAAAAGCAAAAAAAAAAAAAAAAAGTTAAGTCGGACCTGCTTTCAGTGGCTGGGAACACTGAGCCAAACACCTTCCCTGAGTTTGAGAAAGAAACTGTTAAATAAAACACCTCAGGCCTGAGAGCCCCCAGGAGTCTCCAGATGTACCACCAGGTCCTGAAGAAAGCATCACTCCTGTTGGAGTGTTCACTCACTTCCGGTGGAGCCAGTGACCCTGGTCACCCAACCCCCAATTACTGGGCTCCGGAGCCTGCAGGTCGACACATGACTACTCATTAGCACTTTAAAGACTTACCGGATGGCAGATAATGGCTCACTCATGGCTACAAGATATGATTATGAATCTTATAATACACAATGCATCACGTATAAATGTACTACCCGGGTAATGAAAGAGTTCAGGGCAAAGCCATCTCCCTTCATCACCTCAAAAACGGCTTCGCGTCAAGGCGATCGTCCTATGTAGTTCTGAGACGATGAAAAGGGGTACCAATGGAACAGAAATTTGCAAAAAGCATATATGTGGGGGGTGGGGGGATGGCCTGGAGAGGCGGTACAGTGGGTAAAGCATCTGCGACTGTCAATCCCGGAATCCCATATGGTCTCCCAAGCGCCTGCAAAAGTTAACTGCACAGTGCAGAGCCAGGAATAACCCCTGGGCATCTGCAGGGAACCCCTCCCCCCACCACTGCAAACACAACCATTTAGCCAGGGACTCCAGAGACAGGAAAAGGACGAAGGCTCTTGCCTCGCACACAACCGACCTGGGTTTGAGCCCCGGCACCACACTGTCATGGACCACTGAGCACAGAGCTAGGAGCCAGCCCTGAGCACTGCCAGGCAGGTAGAAGCTGCCCCCCAAACACAAAAGCATCCTGATGGGGAAAGAAAGAATTCTTATCCATCGGAAGCATCCACAATGAGCCCTAAACCTAAAATCTAGAAGCCACCATTGTGGACCTGGCCACCAAGTGACCATCGCGTCCAACTCCCAAGCGACACCCTCGCCTCAAAAGCCAGCTGTGTGTTCAACTCCCCGAAGTCCGCCTGAATAGACCCCCCCCCCCCCCACCTCAGTCCAGCCCACACCCTCCCTGAGCACAGCAGACACCCCTGCCTGGTTCCAACAGCCTCTGGGAGGTTCCGGGTCTCGGGAACTGCAGTCCCTTTGCTGGGGCGCCCGGGGGACTGTGGGAAGGATACAGCCTGTCATGGTGGCCACGTCCAGCTTGTCCAGATCCGGGGAGCCGGGACAACACTTCTTGAACTCTTTCCGAAGGTCGAAAAAGGAGTAGAAGCATTCGGGCAGCAGAACATTCTGCAGGAGGGAGGGAGAGAGAAGCGGTCACTGCGGGCCCACTCACAACCCAGGAGCTGAGAGCCGCGATTTCAGACATTTAAACAACGGTGGGCTGGAGCCACAGGACAGAGGTTACAGCGTTGGCCTTGCACGCGGCCGACCCAGGTTCGATCCCCAGCACCCCGTGTGGTCCCCTAGCACTGCCAGGAGTGATTCCTGAGTGCAGAGCCGGGAGTAACCCCTGAGCATCGCTGGGTGGGTGTGACCCAAAAAGCCAAAATCAAACTGTTCGATCCCCAGTATCCCCATATGGTCCCCAGAGCCTGCCTGGTTCAAGATTGAGTACGGAGCCAGGAGTGGCCCCCTGGATGTGGCCCCAAACCAAAACACCAAAAAGCAGAAAAGCCAGACAGTACAGCTAGTCAGGGGTTTGCCCAGCATGTGGCTGACCACGGGCAGGGGGCGGCGACTCCATAGTGCCACATGGGCTTCCCTGAGCATCACCAGGACTGACCCCTGAGCAGTCAAGTGCAGACCCCAAAGAAGCAGACGAGACCCTGAGGGCTGGAGCAGGAACACACTGACCCTCAGGCAGCGCCCGAGACTGGTCTGACCCTTGAAAGAGCAGGGACTGAGCCCTGAGCACACGTAGGAGCACCACCAGGTACGTCTCCCCCAGCCAAAGCAAAAGTGAAAAACACAAGTGCTGGGCCAGAGAGACGTACAGGAGGGAAGGTACTTGCCTTGCATGTACCTGTGATCGCAAGCCGAGTGCCAATCCCTGGCACCAAGTACCCCAAACACTGCCAGGGTCACCCTCAACACAGAGTCCGGAGTGCGGGAGGGTGTGACCACCGCCTCCCCCAAACAAAACACACTGAAGCCATTAGAAATTATAAAGTAGGCTAGAAGTTTTGCATAATGTAAATATGTCATGCAAAAAAAAAAATGTTACAAAGACTCTTGGGAACTGGGTCAAAGGGCTGGGGAGCATATGCAGGGACCCCGAGGTCCTTCCCAGTGGCCCCCAAGCACTGCTGACTATGCCTGTCCTAATAGAAAACACAACATTTTTTTTGGGGGTGGGGGTGACACCCACTGGTACTTAGGGATTACTCCTGGCTCAGCACCCAGGAATTACTCCTGACCGACCCTGTAGGATGCCGGGGATTGAACCTAAGATGGCAACACAGGTTAAGACCCAACTGTACTATGGCCCCGGCCACCACACTAGGACACTGAAATGTCAATCCAAGCGTGTTCCAAAACACCATGTTCCGTGCGCAGCGACCTTCACTGTATTTGACACAAGGCACTATCACCAGTGTATTTTTGAGTCAAAGGCTTCTTCCCCATGCTCTCCCATTTCCCTGAATTTTCCCTCCTGAATAGGGCTACTTTCCTTAGGACACTAAACCCTTATACTTCTGGGATTTTTATCAAGGTGCCGAGAAGGGTCAGAAGATAGTGCAGCGGGTAGGGCGTTCGCCTTACCCACGGGCAACGTGGGCTCGATTCCCGGCATCCCATATGGTACCCCCAAGCACCGCCAGGAGTAATTCCTGAGTGCAGACCCAAGACTAAAATAATGTGACCCAAAAAGATTAAAAAAAAAAAAATGCGAAGAGAAGTGGCTCAGGGAGGCATACTCAAAAACTCGCTGGAGGTGTTCACACCTGCGAAAGGAACGGAACTAGCCGCTTCCCTCCAAAGTAACAGGGACGGTGCTCAGACATCCCGCTGAGGATTCCAGAATCCTCATCAAGTTCCCAATCAAGGACACAGCCTTCAGCTGATCACTTGGCGAACCACTGCTGCCTCCCCTTGGAAGCAGACGATCCAAGTTAACGGCGAAAGGAGTGGTTTTCTCAACCCGCACGGAACAAGATTTCACCTCTGAACTTTTCAAAAACTGCTGTTACACTTAGGAGGCCAGTCCACGGCTTGTCCATTCGAGCACCAAAACAGAGTATCTGCTTATCACCCACTGATCGGCCACATCCATCATCTGTCCAACTCTTCTCTGCAAGATGTGCTCAGTTTCCTTAAAAATAGCTTATTCCGGGGGCTGGAGCGACAGCACAGCGGGTAGGGCGTTTGCCTTGCACGCGGCCAACCCGGGTTCGACTCCCAGCATCTCATATGGTCCCCTGAGCACCGCCAGGAGTAACTCCTGAGTGCAGAGCCAGGAGTAACCCCTGTGCATCGCCAGGTGTGACCCAAAAAGAAAAAAAAAAACCAAAAACAGCTTATCTCCGGGAGCTAGAGTGGTAGCACAGCAAGGTAGGTGTTCGCCTTGGACGGGGATGACCCCGGTTCAATTCCCAGCATCCCATATGGTCCCCGAGCACCCCCAGGAGTAATTCCTCAGTGCATCACCAGGAGTAACCCCTGTGCATCGCCAGGTATGACCCAAAAAGCAAAATTAAAAAAAAAAAAGCTTATTCCCCCGTACAGGGAGGCCGCCTGTGATGCAGGCCAGGTTCCATCCCGGGGCCACACACGGTCCCCGGAGCCTGGCCAGGAGTGCCCCTGAGCACAGAGAGTCAGGAATAAGCTCTGGGCACCTCTGGGTGTGCCACCAACCACCCCCACACACAAAATGCTTACGCCCATCTTTTCCAGTTTGGTCCCTACCCACTGCAATAAAAAGTGAGAGCTCAGACTAATTAAGTTTATGAGAGCAACTGTATTAGGGCCGATTGGCCACACCTTCACCATGGACCACCTGCCTTGCTCTCAGCCACAAAATCAGGGGGCAAGCCAGATGGAGACGTGATTGGCTTGCCCCAAACTCGTTAGGTCAGGAAAAAAAACCAGGTACCAATGCTCTGGTTTTGATGCAAACTTTAGCTTTGAACGTTTAAGTCAAGCAAATCCCAGCCGCGCGCTCTCGCTCGTTGGCCTAGACTCTTTGCAGTTCAAAGCTCTTTGATGAACCAGAATCACACTTAAGGTTCAGTTGCATTTTTCTTTGTTCCTTCCTTTCTAGGATAAAGCCATTTCCACAGGAATGGGGCTCTTTGAAGTTCCTTTAAATGTCCAAAGTTGAGAGGCTATGCCTTAGAGGCAGAACACAAAGCACTGTATTAAGAACCCCTCCCCACCAAGACCCCCCAAAATTCACAAGTTAACTGCAACAACCAACAACTATCACTTATTTAAAAAAAAAAAAAAGCACAAGTTTTGACTCTGCTAGCAAACAAGACACGGAGGATTTTAAGTATACAGTATCCTGGTACCCAGGACATCCATGCTGGCCTGCACCAATCACCACCAGTAACTCTCCAAACGCACCTTGTTTGAAAAAAATAAATAAAAGCCCAGACACGTGGAAAAGTCCCTTTTGGCTTTTTTTTTTCCCCACTTCCCCGCCCCCCAGACCATCTCGCTTACCTTCTTAGACGCCTCCGGATGCAAGATTTGGCGTATGTGGAGCTGCCCGTCGGTGCACAGACAGAAGGAAGTGCCCACCGCAATGTTCAGCTCATTGCTCACGGACTGGTTAAACTGAAAAAGGCCAAGACACACACACACGGGCAACAACTGATGGGAGATCTGGGCGCAGCCAGGGCCCGCGCTGGGCTCTATCTAGCCCGGGCGTCCCCAGAGGACAACTGACCCGCACCCCTAGGGCCCCCTGTGCTCCTGCCCGCCCACCCACCCACCCATCCATGCATCCACCCATGCATGCATCCACCCATCCATGCATCCATCCATCCATGCATCCATCCACCCTGCAGTTCGGCCCGGGGCCCCGTTTCGTCAGCCGTTGCCTTTGTGTTACATCATCCCCCCTCCTGTAATTTTTTTTTTTATTTAACTATTTGGCCAACCCCGGGTTGCAGGAAAGATGCCCGATCCTGATAAACAACCGTGGGCGATGGGCGTTATCGATCTCGGGAAGGCGCTTTCTGGAAGGCCGCCCGGGAGGGGCCACTTTCACCCCAGCCCCGCGGCGGGCGCGGGTGCGAGGAGGGCGCGGGAGGGCCCCCGCCCTGACCCCGCCCAGCCTCCGCACACCCGGGTTTCTAGGTCACTCGGGGTCCCGCAAAGAGGGGATGCCACCAACGCCCGCGCCCCGGCCGTCCTCGGGCACCGAACGACCCCCCGGGCCCCCCTTGCCCCCGCGCTCACCTGTCGGAGCGCCTGGTCCAGCTGCGGCGCCGTGGCCAGGCCTTCCGCGTCCACCTGGCTGCCCGCCTTGCACTCGTCGCTCAGCTCCAGCTGGTCGGGCCGAACCAGCACCTCGTGCAGCGGCCCCACCTCGGGGCAAAGGCGGCGGGTCGGTCCCGGGGGGTCGCGCGCGCCACCCCCACCCCGACGGGGCGCCCGGGCCGCCCCCCTCCCGCGCGGCCGGGGCGCGGCGCACCTGGGCCCGGTTTCCGGGGGCGCGGGGGCGGGAGTGGGGGCGCTGGGGGCCGGGCTCGGGACCCCAGGGGTGGGTCGGGTCGGGTCGGGTCGGGCCGAGCGTCCAGGCGGCCGGGCCGGGCCTCCCCCGCGCCCCCCGGGGCGGGGACGGGCGCAGGCGCGCGCGCGCGCGTCGGGGGGCGCGGGCTCACCTTCTGGCTGGCCAGGTCCACCACCTTCCAGAGCAGCAGGACCAGCTCCTTCTCGTCCGAGCCCAGCTTGGCGCCGCCGGCCCCCGCCGTGACGCCGAAGAGGACCACCAGGTAGTCCGGGGACGCCGTCATGCCGCCGGCAGGTGGGCGGGGGGCGCCGGGGACCCGGGTCCGCGCGCGCTCGCGCGGGCGCACGCGGCCGGGCGCGCTCGGGGGCCGCGGGCCGGGGGTCGGGGGGCGCCGGGGCGTCGGGGCCGGGAGCCGGGCGCCGCGCTGCAGCCCCGGGAGGCGCGCGCAATGGCCGAACGCGTCGCTGTTTGGGGAGGTGGCGCCGACCCGCCCGCCCCTGCCCCTCCCCCACGCGGCGCAGGTAAGAGGCACCTGGCGCCGCCGGCCCATTGGCTCCTTCGAACCGCGACGTGGCAGCGGCGGGGGAGGGAGGCGGGAGGAGGGGGCGGGAGACAAAGGCTGGATGAATGGACGGGGGCGGGGAGGGGCGGCCGCCGCCCCGGGGGCAGCCGAGGCCGGCCCGGGGGCGCGCGGCTGGTGGGCGGGGTGGGGGAGGTGGGGGGCGCTCGGGCCGCGGGGCCGGGCAGGGCGCGGCGGGGGGAGGGGTCCCCGTTTAGTGCTTGGGGGAAGGCAACTTTGGGGGGCAACTCTGGGGTCCTCCGGGCTCCGAAATAAAAGTTTTTTATAACTGCTGGGCGTGCAGAGGCCAGAGGGGAGGCCAGGGGCGCGGCGCAGGGAGGGACCGGCCAACGGCAGCCGGGAGGTGGCGGGACGCCTCCCCTCGGCCCCGGAAAGGTGGCTCCCGGGTCCCCCACACCCCGCAGAGCAAACAGGAGGGACCCAGCGCCCCAAAACCCGCTCCCGGCCCGCCGACCTGCAGCGCGGAGCCAGGCGCCCGCCCCCCGCCCCAGCCCCGGACGCGGAGACGCGGGGGGCCACGGGCGAAGCGACAGGGCGGGAGGGGGGTCCCCCAACATCCCGCGAAGACGCGGGGACCCAGTGGGCCTCCCTTGTCTCCAAGCAGTTGCTGGGTCTGCTAGCGCGACCCCGGCACCGCCAGGCGCATGTTCCCCCCCGAACCCCGAACCGGAGACATCCGCCCCGCGTGCCTCTGGGGAGCCCAAGGCAGCCTGGATTCCGGGGTTCCCGCCGGACACCCCCCACCTTTGTCCTCGGGTGGGGACCTGCGCGGTCGCTGCCGGCCCGGCGGGGCCCCAGCAGACGTGCGCGCCCGCGCCCCCCACTTGTCTCCGGGTGCCGCTGTGCCAGGCGGGCACCGGGCGAGGGGCGCGCGCTCGGCCTTTCGGGGACCGGAGGGGACGAGGCGGGGAGGATGCGGCGCGCGGGGTCCGCGTCGAGCCGCGCTGGCGGTGAAATTGCCGCGAGTGTTCGGGGGTCCCGCCGGCAGGGCGACCGGTTCCGGCCGCGCCCGGGTCCCCCACGACGGGGGAGGGGGTACCAAGCCGCGTTTGGGGATGCGCGTCCGCAGCAGCGGGGCGCATGAGTGTAGAGGGACGGAGGGAGAGGCGTTGGGGGCGCACCGCAGGCCGTAGCCGGCGCCCCCCACCCCCACGAGGGCGAGCCGAGCTGTGTCCCCGGCAGCGCCCCGGAGGCCACCAGCTGGGGTGCAGGGGACACCCCCACCCCACGGCGCGGAGGGTGGCCCCGCCCTGCGCCCCGGATCTGCGGGCGGGCGGGCGGGCGGGCGGGCGCGGAGGCCGGGAAGGAGCTGGAAAAACCACCCAGGTTGCATTGCAGTGGGCGCGGCCCGGCCCGGCCGGTTCCCCCGAGCCTCCGCCCCGCGGGGCGCCCCGTGCGCCCGGCCCAGGTGCGCGGCTCCGCCCGGCGCGGGAGGCGGCGACTGTCGCCAGGAAGGCGGCGATCGCGGCCCCGGGGGCCTGGGCCCGCCCGGTCTTTCGGGCCCTCGGTGCGAGGAGCGCCTGGGGGGCTGGGGGGTGCCCCCCGAGGGTCCCCGCCGCCCGCACCGCACCGCACCGCACCGCGCCCAGCTGGCCGGGCCCCTGGGCGCTGGCCGCGCCGCGCGCCCCCCAGCCCCGGGCCCCGGACGCGCCGCCTTCCTGTCCCGGGGAGCCGCGGGGCCGGATTTCTCATCTTTGAAATTTAAATTGGTCGGGCTGGGGCGATTTTGTCCCGATTTGTTCTTGAATTGCATCCCCGGGGGCTGGGCGCGCAGAACTCGGTGCGCGTTTGTGGACTGGCCCTGCGGAGCTAGACTTGGCCGCGCCCGCGCTCACTATTTTTGGTTTTTTGGGGTTTTTTTTTTTTTGCTTTTTTTTGGGGTGGGGGGTCACACCCGGCGACGCACAGGAATTACCCTTGGCGGTGCTCAGGGGACCCTATGGGATGCTGGGAGTCGAACCCGGGTCGGCCGCGTGCAAGGCAAACGCCTCCCTCTTTTGGCGGCCCCTTTGTCCCCCGCGCTCGGGCTTGGCCCGTCTCGGATGCCCGAGCCGCGGGGCCGCTGCAGGTGGCCTGTCGAGCTGGGCTGAGCAGCTAAAGGACCGTTTCCCTGCCCGCCGCTGGCGGCTGTTAACATCAAATGCCTGCGAAATGCGGGGAGAGGGTGGTGGGGGTCTCAGTGATCGAGGCCCACCCGGAGGCCAAGATGTTTCATCGCCCTGGCTGCTACCTAGAGATGCTTCTGCGGTAGTGAGGGTGAATGGTGTGCGGGCGGGGCCAGGAGGAACCTGGGAAGGGGAGAGGGGGATTCTCTTGGGGTTTTTTTTTTTGCTTTTTTTTGGGGGGGTCACACCCTGCGATGCTCAGGGGTTACTCCTGGCTCTGCACTCAGGAATTGCTCCTGGCAGTGCTCGGGGGACCATATGGGATGCTGGGGATTGAACTCAGGTTAGCTGTGTGCAAGGCAAACACCCTCCCCACTGTGCTATTGCTCCAGCCCCCCTTTTTTAAAATTCTTTTTGGGTCACACCCGGCAATGCTCAAGGGTTACTCCTGGCTCATGCACTCAGGACTTACTCCTGGCAGTGCTCAGGGGACCCTATGGGATGCTGGGAATCGAACCCGGGTCGGACACATGCAAGGCAAACGCCCTACCCACTGTGCTCCAGCCCCTCTCGTTTCTTTCTTTTTTTTTATCCACTCGTTTTTTTGTTTTTTAACTCCAAAACACACTGATGATTTCAATAAGAATGTGAACCAGGGTGGGGGGGGCTGGGGCGATTGTACCACACAGGGAAGATCTTGCCTTGCCTTGCGGGAGGCTCCATCCTTAGGGCACCCAAGCACCACCGCCAGACTTAATTCCAGAGTGTGGTCCAGGGGTAACCCTTGAGCATAACAGGATGTAACCCCAAAACAAACAATGTGAACCGAATAGAATCTGGTTTTTGGATTTTCTTGGGGGGAGAGGAGGTGCCAGGGAAGGGGGGCACACCTGAGAAGCATTGGTGAGGTGCTGGGGACCATAGTACTTCGGGTAAGGAGCTTAAATTTGTACTTGGTTGAGGTGGTCCGACCAATACTAGGTAGGATCCCGGAGCACAGCTTGAGTGATCCCTGAGCTGAGCCAGAAGAAAGCCCTGATCACCAGCAAGCCTGCCCCCCCTCATCAGAGCTTTCCCCTCCCCCAAAAAAGGGGGGGACTGGAGAGGCCAGCCTGAGTTGCATCCTCAGTACCCCAAAAGGCCCCCCCAGCCTGCCAGAAATGATGCAGGAGTCCTGAGCATTGCTGGGTGTGGCTGAGAACCAAGCCGAGAAAACAGCTTTGCAGCCCAGCATGACTGGAGGTAGTTTCCTGCTTCTGGTGTTCGGGTCCCAGCACCGCACACAGGGGCCACACCGAGAGGGGGTGTTGTTGAGACTCCTGAGCCTTGCAGTTCAATACTGCAACATTGTACTGATAACTGATTGCCCAGGGCTTTTGATTGGGAGACTCCTTTAGGAAGTACTCACCCCGCCTGCAATGTTTCCTTCTGTAGGTGTGAGAAAAAACAATCCAACGAGTGTGAAAAGTTAGTATAGGGGTCCTCCCTCGCATGCAGAGAGAGAATACAGGCTGACCAGGACACTTGCCTTGCACACCGCAAGCCTGAGTTCAGTCCCTGGCACTGCAGAGGGTCCCCTGAACGCCACCTGGAGTGATCCCTGAGCGCCACTGGGTATGACCAACAAAGGTGGGTGGGTGGGGGGAGGCCTGGGGGGTTATGGTCAACAAAGGTAGGGGGGGCGCGGGGGAGGTATGGCCAACAAGGAGGGTCCTGGGGGGGAGGGATGAAGCAAATCATCATCCCATTTGCAACATGCAAGTGCTTGAAGTAACAAGTACCCAGCCCTTGTTTGGTTTGGAGGCAACATCCGGCACTTTGCAGAGCTGCCTGGTCTCACGCCCTCCTGCTCCTGCTCCCCTGCAGAGTGCCAGCGCCCTAGCCCCTGGAGCCTTCGCTGCCCACCGCTGGGCACTTTCAAGCTTCCCTATGCTAACCTAATGTGTCCCCCTACAGCCTGGATCTGTTTCCAGGAGGGAAGCACCCGGGCCAGCCGCCCTTCGCCCTTCAGTAGTACCAGCCTTTCCCGTCCTTGCAGGTTCTTAAATACTCCTCCTGGGCCAAGCCCGGCCAGCGCCTCCAGCCTGCCTCTTGCTTGCCTGCTCTTTAATTATTTCCTTCCCCTCCCTGACCTCTTCTCACTGTCCTAAAGCAGCTCCTGGTCTTGACCGCCCGGGTGTGCTGCGCTCTGAGCACTGACCTGGAGATCCCGAGATGCTGCGAGCAGGGACAGGACCGCAGGGAAGGCGCTTGGGCTCTCCAGCACCACACAGGGACCGACAGCGCTGCCAGGAGTGAGCCCTGAGCACAGAGCCAGAGGTGAGCCCTGAGTACGGAGACAGGAGTGAGCCCTGAGCACTGCCAAGAGTGAGCCCTAAGCACAGAGCCGGGAGTGAGTGAGCCCTGAGCACAGAAGCAAGAGTGAGCCCTGAGCACAGAGGCAAGAGTAAGTCCTGAGCACGGAGCCAGGAATGAGCCCTGAGTACGGAGACAGGAGTGAGCCCTGAGCACTGCCAAGAGTGATCCCTGAGCACAGAGCTAGGAGTCAGCCCTGAGCACAGAGCTAGGAGTCAGCCCTGAGCACAGAGCCAGGAGTCA